ACCCCCCTCCCAGCTGTGTGTTCCTCCCCCCACACCTCCTCCCAGCTGTGTGTTCCTCCCCCCACACCTCCCAGCTGTGTGTTCCTCCCCACACCCCCCTCCCAGCTGTGTTCCTCCCCCACACCCCTCCCAGCTGTGTGTTCCTCCCCCACCCACCCCCCCCAGCTGTGTTCCTCCCCACACCCCCTCCCAGCTGTGTGTTCCTCCCCCACCTCCCTCCCAGCTTGTGTTCTCTCCCACACCCCCCTCCCAGCTGTGTGTTCCTCCCCCACACCCCCCCTCCCAGCTGTGTGTGTTCCTCCCCCACACCCCCTCCCAGCTGTGTTCCTCCCCCACCCTCAGCTGTGTGTTCCTCCCCACCCAGCTGTGTGTTCCTCCCCACCTCCTCCCAGCTGTGTTTCTCCCCCCACACCCCCTCCCAGCTGTGTTCCTCCCCACACCCCCCTCCCAGCTGTGTGTTCCTCCCCCACCCCCCCTCCCAGCTGTTGTTTCCTCCCCCACACCCCCTCCCAGCTGTGTCCTCCCCCACCACCCCTCCCAGCTTGTGTTTCCTCTCCACCCCCTCCAGCTATGTGTTCCTCCCCACACCCCTCCCAGCTGTGTGTTCCTCCCCACCCCTCCCAGCTTGTGTTCCTCCCCCACACCCCCCCTCCCAGCTGTGTTCCTCCCCACACCCCCCCCTCCCAGCTGTGTGTTCCTCCCCACACCCCCCTCCCAGCTGTTTCCTCCCCACACCCCCCTCCCAGCTTGTGTTCCTCCCCCACCCCCCTCCCAGCTGTGTGTTTCCTCCCCCACCCCCCCTCCCAGCTGTGTGTTCCTCCCCCCACCCCCCCTCCAGCTGTGTGTTCCTCCCCCACACCCCCTCCCAGCTGTGTGTTTCTCCCCCACACCCCCCTCCCAGCTGTGTGTTTCCTCCCCCACACCCCCTCCCAGCTGTGTGTTCCTCCCCACCTCCCCTCCCAGCTGTGTTCCTCCCCCCACCCCCTCCCAGCTGTGTGTTCCTCCCCACCCCCTCCCAGCTGTGTGTTCCTCCCCCCACCTCCCTCCCAGCTGTGTGTTCCTCCCCCACCCCTCCCAGCTGTGTGTTCCTCCCCCACACCCCTCCCAGCTGTGTTCCTCCCCACACCCCCTCCCAGCTGTGTGTTCCTCCCCACACCCCCCCCTCCCAGCTGTGTGTTTCCTCCCCCACCCCCCTCCCAGCTGTGTGTTCCTCTCACACCCCTCCCAGCTGGGTTTCCTCCCCCACACCCCCTCCCAGCTGGGTTCCTCCCCCACCCCCCCTAGCTGTGTGTTCCTCCCCCACACCCCCTCCTAGCTGTGTGTTCCTCCCCACACCCCCTCCCTTGTGTTCCTCTCCACACCCCCCTCCAGCTGTGTTCCTCCCCCACACCCCCTCCCAGCTGTGTTCCTCTCCCACCCCCCTCCCAGCTGTGTGTTCCTCCCCACACCCCCCTCCAGCTGTGTTCCTCCCCCACCCCCCCCCTCCCAGCTGTGTTCCTCTCCCACCCCCCTTCCCATGTCCTCCCCCACCCCTCAGCTGTGTGTTCTCCCCACACACCCCCCTCCCAGCTTGTGTTCTCCCCCACCCCCTCCCAGCTGTGTTCTCCCCACACCCCCTCCCAGCTGTGTGTTCCTCCCCCCCCACTTCCCAGCTATGTGTTCTCCCCACACCCCCCTCCAGCTGTGTTTCTCCCCACCCCTCCAGCTTGTGTTCCTCCCCACCTCCCTCCCAGCTGTGTGTTCCTCCCCCCACACTCCTCCCAGCTGTGTGTTCCTCCCCCCACACCCCCTCCCAGCTGTGTTCCTCCCCCCCCTCCCAGCTGGTTCCTCCCCCACTCCCCAGCTGTGTGTTCCTCCCCCCACCCCCCTCCCAGCTGTGTTCTCCCCCACCCCCCTCCCAGCTTGTTCCTCCCCACACCCCTCCCAATGTGTTCCTCCCACCCCCCTCCCAGCTGTGTGTTCCTCCCCCACACCCCTCCCAGCTGTGTGCCTCCCCCCCCACACCCTCCCAGCTGTGTGCTCCTCCCCCACACCCCCTCCCAGCTGTGTGTTCCTCCCCACCCCCCCTCCCAGCTGTGTTCCTCCCCACCCCCCCTCCCAGCTGTGTGGCTTCCTCCCCCACCCCTCCAGCTGTGTGTCCTCCCCCCCCACCCCCCCCTCCCAGCTGTGTTCCTCCCCCCCCTCCCAGCTGTTCCTCCCCCACCTCCCCCACTGTTTCCTCCCACACCTCCAGCTGTGTTCCTCCCCCACCCCCCTCCCAGCTGTGTGTTCCTCCCCACCCCTCCCAGCTGTGTGTTCCTCCCCACCCCCTCCCAGCTGGTTCCTCCCCCCCTCCCTCCCAGCTATGTGTTCCTCCCCCACACCCCCTCAGCTGTGTGCTCCTCCCCACACCCCTCCCAGCTGTGTGTTCCTCCCCCCACACTCCCCTCCCAGCTGTGTGTTCCTCACACCCCCCCCAGCTGTGTGCTCCTCCCCCACACTCCCTCCCAGCTGTGTGTTCCTCCCCCACACTCCCTCCCAGCTGGGTTCCTCCCCCTCCCCTCCCAGCTGTGTGTTCCTCTCCCACATGTTTAGATCATCGTGTGTCCCTCCCAGTACTGAACAAGGTCCCACAAGAAACAAGAATGTATATAAAACAAATATTTATTATTTCACTTCAGATTGTTCAGGAAATTGCAATTATATCTACAAAGAATAAATTTTCCTTCGTTAAATAGTTTCATAAATTCTCTCCATAAACTGTAAAAAATAAACTTGACATTTTCATTTCTTTATAAAAAGGAGAATTATCAATTGCTCTTAAAATACTATTAAAAACGTGAATTATCTTCCAGGGACGTTCTTGTGTAAAGGTGTTAGGTTACTGCGCCGTGATAATCCAAGTCTCAGCCCGATGTTTCCGGTGGTGCTGGCGATAATGATCTCGGGGCAGAGCTTGAACTACCATTCACGGGAGAGTTCAGTAAAGGATTTCTATAGGGTGTTTTAACTAAGCCTACAGCTACTCTTGATCCTGGAGAACTTGTTGCTTTGGCAGAGTTGGCTGTTTTGGGTTTGGGCCCTGCTACAGTGGGGGAGGTATGGGGAGTCACAGCGGGGACCTACAGGCGTCTGGCGGGGAGCTACGAGGATGTCACAGTGGGGGACCTATAAGATGTCACAGTGGGGGTATGGGATGTCACAGTGGGGGACCTCACCGAGCATGCAGCGGGGAGCTATGGGATGTCACAGTGGGGGACCTACCGAGGGCGTCACAGCGGGGGAGCTATGGGATGTCACAGTGGGGGACCTACGGGGCGTCACAGCAGAGGGACTCCCAAGTGCATCTGCAACCGGAGAACTTAGAAGAACTGTCACAGGGAGAGAACACTGAGGGGGGATGTTTTCATAGGTGGGACTCTGGTGGGAGGAGAGTTGAGGTTGGAACGTCCGTCGGGAGTTTGTGGCGAGGATTTAGGAACAGTCTTTGGCGATTTACTCTTCTTCAATGTCTTAATCTCTTTTCCTATCTTCTTCTTCTTCTTTGGTGTTGGTTCAAAGTCGCTGTCTTCAGATAGATCGGGTATTCTTAGAACACCAAAGCCAAAGTCACTGTCATCCAGTGGTGTCTGAAAAATGGTGTAGTATGGTATTAATAAAACATCAAGCCATTATCCTCAAAAACTGTATTTAACACAGGCAGGACTGTAAGAGTCTACAAGACTTATTTTCAATATAGATAATAAAACCAACTAATCTTTATGTTGCATCCCATCATGTATTCAGCCTGACCTTAATAGTTAATCATGCAATCATTGTTTTAACAGCACACAAGAGTACAGTAAGCAAAACGTACACAAAACCTGACAATAATAACAAATGTACTATATCAAATGAATTCAATATTGCTTTCAATCTCAATTCCTTACCCAGAACTTTTTTATTTTACTTATTTGTATGTTTTCCCTTTACTCTTTCAACTGCTGTATATATTTTAGGTAATCTTTTTGTTGTTGTATTACTGTGTCTGCTTAGGATCTACTCCAGTAAACAACAGTATGAGCTATAAAACTAAAGGCCCGTTCACACGATCGAGCAGTGCCCGGCGCGGCGCTAAATACCGTTATCGGGCAAAATTGGCGGGCAAACCAGCGGAGTGCCCGTGCCCGTCGTTGAACAAAATCATGGTCCGCCTGCCTGATTTGCTGCGGATATGGGCGGTCTGATACTTATATGTTCCTCTCTCGGTCCAGATGTCCAGTGTATAACCAAATAAGCTTATGCAATGTACATTATTGGCGTGACAATAAATGGGAGATTGTTTATGTAATGTAAGGACATCCGTGTGTGTCTTGTTCGCTCTCTCCTCACTCTAGTCCCATAGCTTCCTGTCTATGCATATCATAATTCTAACATTATTCAATGAATTTTTATGTGCTACAAATCTCACCTGCAAGTAATCTTCCTTGAGTACTTCATACATGGCTTGACAAGTTGCAGGTATTATCAGAGACAAACTTTGTTTTGATTATCCTCGTTCTATACCGGAGTGACATGTAGGTGCACCCAGTTAAGAGGGCGTTGCCTCTAGACGAGCCTCTGCAGATATACTCTCCTCATATTGGTATCCTGTTTTATATATGGTTCCACTTTTCGCTAGAAGTTTAGAAGTTTGTAAAGTGTGTTGGGGTCCATTCTCATGTAACTGGTGAAGTCTTGCTCATGTCCATCTTGCAGTTCACGTAAAATCGTGGCATGACTTCCCAATACTTTTCTTTGACCTAACCACTCTTTGCACCATTCCCTTTTCTGCATTTGGCTCTTCTTTTTGCACATAGCAGCAATTATTATAGTACACAGCTATGCTCTTCGCTTAACTGTCGGGTGATTATTCCTGCGACATACCATGGTGATCGTACCGCATCCGCCACTGCCGAACACCTACTAGCTACGGCCCGACTATGACTGCCGCCAACCACTCCCGTGTGTACAACAACACACAGGCTATGCCGAAACGGACAAGCCCGCCGGGCACTGCTCGATCGTGTGGACGGGGCTTTACACACTCCAGCTGCCTATATATTTCTATCCACATATCATTCTCTCCTTCATGCATCAGTGTTCTGTAAAGTCACACATGCACATCTCTCTTCATTTCCTCACAACTTCTCATCAAAGCACTTTACCTCTCCCATTTTAGTCATCAATCAGCCCTTCCTCTCCCATTTTAGTCAGTAGATAGTAACCTATCATGCATCATAGGCTTCTGTTAAAGTCAATATAATTTCAACTTACCCAAATACAGAATCCAAAACCCTCCTCAATTTAAGAATCCTGGGACTGAATTGGAGAAATATTATACTACTACACATTAAGTTTCTCCTCTAAATGGTGACATGAGAATGTAGGAATTACTGTACATGATGTTTTAAATCAGCAAGACTCAGTGCATGCCTTATGTGGTGTCTTATTTACTTACCGGTACACAAAGATTCTACGGCAACTAAATTTTCTCATCCTGTTACAGTACTCAAGATAAATTTTCTCTATGAAGCTTTAAGATTCCAAGTACAAGACCCTATTCATGCAGTCTGGTGCACTGTATTTTATTCACAGGAACTAAGGAAAACTTTACCTTCTTTAAACTTCACAGATTTTCTTTGTCTCTTGCCTGTAAAGCCAGTTGATGTGCTGGGTTGTGGCTCACCAGTTTTTCCTTTTTTTAATATTGAAGCAACCTTAAAATTCTTGACTTGCAGAACATCAGAGTTTAGTTCGACTACAGTTGTATTGGCCCCGGTAGTGACGGCTTCATCATGGGGGTGGGGAGGTGGTTTGGTCGTCTCCTCAGTGTCCATGTCGGGTACATAGTTATTGAGTAGTGATGGGCTGCTGTCTGTTTCTGGAGTCCCACTTACGTCAGGCACTGTGGAGGTCACCGCAACTTCCTCACCATGTGTTGTCTCTGTGTCCAGTTTTGTGTCTTTCTCACAAGAATTTCCTTTATTTTCAAGCCGTGATAGTATCAGTGCCTCTTCCAGTTGTCTCTGTGAGGAAGATGTTGTTATGAATATCTCTACATTTAAGAAATAATTGTGGAATACAGGCATGCAGCGATCAATGAATGTGGCTGTACAATCATCAAGGGAAGGATGTGACCCGATCCTATACATGGACCTTGGGAAGTACACAGACTATTGGGCATATGAACAATGACGAGACAAAACAAACTGGACCTAAATTAAACTAAAAATATAAATCAAGATCATTAGTGTATGTTGCTTAGGGTTTAGTTCTTTGTTTTAGCCGTCATTAAACCCCCAAGACACACACTGTACAGATTTCCTTACTTGGAACATTTTCTCGTCAATGGTGAGTCTTGGTTTGGGTGGCCTGCTTGGGAGGGAGCTCTGGGAGGAAGTCATGGGATGGTATTTGTTATTTTCAGGAGTACTCTTATTCTCTTTCTCTTCTTCATCTCCATCTCTCTTCTCTGCATTGTGTGTTGTATCTTTATCATGAGTACTTTCTTTGCTCTCTCTTTCTCTCTCTCTTTTCTCACTCCTGTCTTCCTCTTTTCCATTTTGGTTTCTTGATTTATCCTTCTCTCTCGTGTGTTTATCCCTGTCTCTACCTTTGTCTCTTTTATCCCTGTCCTTGTCTCTTTCTTTCTTCTCTCCATCTCCTCTACCTTTCTTATCCCTGTCTTTCTTATCTCTGTCTCTATCCCTGTATTTCTTATCTTTGTGTCCCTTTTTTCTATCTTTATCCCTGTCCTTCTCATGTTCCCTATGTCTTTCTCTATCATGTCTACTCTTTTCTTTATTATCCTTCCTCTCATTATCCAAACAGTTACCACTGGCGTTCCCTCCTTGACGCCATTTACGCTCGAGACAGATTTAGCGACGAGTACTTTCTTCTTTCCTGGTGAAGCGAAACCTTGAAACTCTTGAAAATCGTCATCGTCTGGAAGAGGAGGAGTTTATTATTACCGTGTCATGATTCGTGGCGTGGATGATGAAGGAAGTATGGCACTGAAGGGCTTATGGGAGGTGTGGAGAGATTTTGTCACCTGTTAAGTATAAAACCAAACTTAACTGAAGGAAACCTAACTTAAATATTTTACTTAATGGCAGGTAGTTAGTTAAGGAGGTAATGAAAATACTATTGGATGCTGGATAACACAATAGTGAACTAACATACCTCCAAGAGTGTAAGCCATCTGACTAGAGTAATCCACAACTTTTCGTACTCTGTAAAGAAGAAAATATATAACTTTTGAAAGACATAAAAGAAAAAAGAAATATTGTGAAACCCCCATATAGTGGACTCCTCTCTCCCCACCATCCGTTAAATGGGAGTTTTACTTATAATGAATCCCAGATATAAGACTTTCATCCCTATAAAGTCTGTTAAAGATATGTTCAGAATCTTAGGAATTAGGTTAGGTTAGTTAAGGTTAGGTATACAAATTATGTTTTTTCTGATGGATTTTGATGTGTTATGAATGATTTGGACCCTCATATCTTTAGGTAATCACATAGTTTGGATATCTATATACAGGGATGACCGTAACTAAAACTTTACCTACCACACGAGCTCTGAACCCTGAGGAGCATACAGTACTATAATGGTAGTTAATAAGACAAACTGAAGAAAGACAGCCCAAGAGAGTTACTTAAACCTGTAATAGTCCAGGACAGCAGCCCGGAGTAACTAGCTACTTAACAAAAAACCTGAGGAAAGAACTTAATTATTACTTGAAAAATAAAACCAAATTTAGTTTCCCAATGTAGTTTTATTACATGTACAGTACTATATTATGTTGCACAGTATATATGACGAATTCCCAATAAAGTCAATCAATGAAAAAGAACAAATACAGTATAAGGTGAGTACAGAGGCAGGGACACTATTATCACCTTCAATAAATCACATCTAATACCCCATATAAACCATCATTAACCCAACACACTAGACACTGACCTTTTATCCTCCAATTCTGCCATAGTTAAATAAATCACAGGTGTTAGAAGACCAATAAATATTAGAAGAATATATTAACTCCTTCAGTCCATCTCCCGCCATGTCCATAAACTGGCGGGTAAAACAATGAAGAACTTAAACTATCATAAAAACCCTAACATTAAATATTATCTGTAAAACAAAAGTAACATAGGTTATTTGTTATTATAATTAAATTAGTTGTATCTCTGTATCTTTTATTATTTAATTTGTAGTCATATTTTATAGTTATGTTTTAATTTTATTTTGACTTTTGGTCGCTGATCATAACAACCCCCCACAAACATTAAAGAACAACCTACAGTAATTACCGATATTAATGACTCTTTTATAGTTATTTTTATGTTTGTATTGTTAATTTATTTTTATTAAGGCTTTTTATTTACTCTTGGTACTGGTTTGACTCTTCTGGTGGCAGGTAAATAAAAAACTGAATCTATCACAAAAAATAAAGTAACATTTATTATTATGTTTATTATAATTATATTTACATTTATTATTAATTGTTTATATTTGTGAGTGTATCATTAGTTTATTTTCTATTAATATTGTGTAGTTAAACCTTTAGTGGTGGGTTGACTCTCATGGTCAGAGATCATAACAAACACCAGACGTCATCCCCATCAGCTGGTCCTTCAGCACTGTTAGTGACCCCTAGTGTGACCCCTGTTGTTGACCCCCTGTTGTGACCCCTAGTGTGACCCCTGTTGTTGACCCCTATTAGAGGTTGAGGAACATGTGATGACTCGTCTCCACCACAACCCCTGTTATTAGATGTGTTGTGTGGTACTGTCCTTGTTATGAGTTGTGTGTGTGGGGTTATAGTTAAGGCGGTAGTTAATCTGTATATGTCACATCACAATTGGATTATTATAAATGAGTTTCGTTTTACTGTTGTATTTTTTGAGGAGTTATATAATAGTTATTTATTTGTATGTCTGGTGTTGTAAGTGTTGAGTGTAGCTTGTGTTGTGTGTGTGTGTGTTATGTCAGTCCTTCACCTGTTATAAATATAGGAACATGAGTGGAACAATCTGTATGGTTAATTGTTCTTGTAGCACCGTTCACTTGTAGTAAGTTAAAAATATATTTGTGTGTGCTGAGACTGAATATGACCTTCCTTTATGGCGATTTTTCGTTTGACGTTTTCCGAGAAAAAAAAGTGCCTAAGAGACTAACAAACACACAATAAAACACTAGAAAAACAATAACCTAACCTAACATAACCTATCTTAACTGACTCACCATATGATGGAATCACCTATTTCTTACCTTATTGGCCTGGTTCTTGTTAATCGTTGCATTCTGGGACTCTTACACAACGCCACAGATACTCTCAGATGATCTTCTGGAAGAGGCTCACGCCTATGACTCAGCTCAATAGCCTCTTCTCTACTCAGGCCGGTGGCTGTGGGGATAATTGCTGCCCTATAACTATATACTTGTTGTTGATTTTCCAGCATTTATCTAATTTTGCTTCAAACTTCTCCACATTCACTACCCACTCAGGTAAACTATTCCAGTTGTTGACAACCCTACTCGGGAACAAGTGTCTTCTGAGATTTAGCCTCGTTCTTGTTTTGTAGATCTTCTTTGAGTTCCCCCGGGTAGTGTCAGCCTCCCTCATCTGGAACATTCCTGCTGTACATGCCTGGTCATAATGTTGGTCTTTGCGATATTTACATTCAGTCTTGCTCTTAGTACACTTTACTGAGGTTGGAAGAACACCATGCGATCGAAAAAATGCTATAGTTTCTTCTTTTTTTTTCCAAAAACTAAGCAATCAGCTCCATATACTTTAAGTGACACCCATCGCAGACTTCCATGGTCGGAACTGAACTTGAATTTCAAATATGAGAGACCAAAAGAATACTCAATTTGATTGGGCCAAAAATACCGTAATTAAACCAAAAACATTTTAATTGATTTCAAAATAAAAAGGCTTTTGATTGACGTGGCGTGTACAGCAACGCATGCACAGGATGATTTATGAAGGGGGCCAGGAGACACGCAGTGGGGGAGGATATTGGCGGATTTTGGCGGGATGTTAATGGAAGAAAATAGAAAATATTTTGGAAGAGCTATCTCCGTTATTATACATTTCCGCCGGTAATGTAATAGATGAAAATTATCTTATAATTAAGCGTCTTATTCGAATATGATAATAGATTAGTGGTAGGAATGAACGGTGCTACAAGAAAATAATACCATCTGTGTTATTATTATGTAACTACTTATAATTTATTCGTTTTGGTCATCCAGCTTATTTTAGGATTTTAAGTTACCCGTTATGTTGGGTTACTTTAGGATAGGTTGGGTTCAGTTAGGTTAGGTTGAAATTATGTTTTTCTGATGGTTTATGATGTGTTTTAAATGATTCTCACCTACTTCCAAACAGATGGATGACCGAAACGATAATTTTACCCACTAAATCCTTCTTTCACAGTGAGTATAAAATGTCATGCCTCCTGGATCAAGTAGCAGCCATTGGCAACATACCAGAGCTCGTGCAGTACCTGTGCCCACATCTATCTACAGGTGGCATAGAAGCCTCGCCCTGGGAGGTTCGAACTCAAAAATTTTTCCAGGTTATCGAGATTTCCATATTGTATAATATTGTAGTTTCTGAAGCAAAACCTAACCATATTAAACTCAAGCAATCTTAATTTTCACCTAACTTAACTTAACCTAACATAACCTAGTACTGAACTCTATCTCTGTTTATGAAGTATATAATCTGCTCCAAAAACTACAGTTGTGCCAAATATGGAAATGTATTGATAATTTTGTTCAATATGTTTTCAGCCCAATTTATTCATCTGTTTAGTTAACTCATATAAATAAAGGATTGTTATACTCATTTAGAGCCATCACACTATAGTGGACAATATTCCCATTACCGGATCTTATTGGCTGAGTCCACTAATTACACTGGACAAAGAGAGACGTCCCTTATTGAGAGGATTTGCTGTACATATTTATTTATAAAGGGAGCTTTTTGTTTTGTTTACAGTATAACCAAGTATTACTCATAGACTGATATTTTACTCTAGCTAGGACTATTATTTAGGAATATTATTTTGGACTGTTATTTTGGACTGTTATTTTGGACAATTATTTGGGAATATTATTTAGGACTATTACTTGGGACTATTATTTAGGACTATTATTTTACAGATTCAGAGTGGACTGACGAATGGGGTGAATGGAATGATGTGGACCGGGGAGGACTCCAAGGTTCTGGGAGCGATGGTGATCCCCGCCTCAAGCTGTCGTCCTCCCCTCAGCCGGAGACTTCCTGGCTTTCAGAATGTGTCATTGCAATGTCCCCAACATTTGATATCATGGCTGCGGCGTATAAAAGCCGCATTGTTATATTGTCTTGTAAGTCATGAGCAGATCTGTGTTGTGTGTGTGTGTGTGCGTGCGTGCGTGCGTGTTTGCGTGGTCACTTTAGCTCCATTACTAATTTACTAGTACAGGTTGACAGTCTGTTGGTTTTAATGAAAGGAATTGATACCGTACTTGTTGGTGGAGTTAATCTGAACATTTTTATGAACAGAAATATTCTTATCTCTTACATAACGGCCATTAAGACACCGTACCGCCGTTTTATTTATTTAAAGGTCGCTGGGAAAAGTCGGCCGAGGAAGAAAGGAAAAAATGAAGTTGAGAATAACCTGGCGCGGCTCAGTTGGTTTTAACACCGAATACGTTTAGCAGTTGCTTAGGATCACCTCGAGAATCTCCACCGCAGCTTATTTCACCGGAAGATTAATCACCGTAACACTATTTAACAGGATGAGGTTAAGTTAGGTTATGTAAAGTTAAATTAGGTTAGGTTAGCATTAGGGCGGTTAATCTTGAGGTGAAATAAACTGGGGTGGAGATGATAGGTTATGAGGCCGGGGTTCATGAAGTACTACAAGCCTATGTGACAATTTTATTATTATTATTATTATTGTTTTATTATTAGTAGTAGTACCTTTAGTAGTAGTATTAGTAGTATCACTTTGTTTGTGGAATTATCATAAGTCTTACCTAATAATTCCTCAGAAGGTGTTGTCTCTCTCTCTCAGTGATGAAGTCAGTGCGTTACTGTGTCTGCCGCTGATCTCCCAGAAACAGAGCAGCACCGGCGGACCAGATTGGACGTGTGTCATTATTGGCTTGACTTCGGGATATGTGGCTATGTATACTGAGGTAAGGTCATGTTAACTGTACAGGTATATGCAGTACAGTATAAGTATTTAAATTAACACATATTAATATAATTTAGTCCATTATTCTATATTGTATTGTTTAAGTTGGAAAGAAAACTTGACATATTCACAGCACTCTGCTCATCTTCTCTGTGTCAACATGGTCTGAGGCTCTGTGACCCAGTGCAGTAGACTCACTTTTGGGGCTTGTGGTGGTATATTGATTCACTGTGCTGCCTTTATATTCATCTCTTTATTATATTTATGATGGAGGTTTAACAAAGGGGAATTAATAACTAAATATCTTGGTTTATAATATGGGAAGATATGTTTCACTTGATTAATTTCATGTAATGTAGTGTTTTGTTTAGGCATCTTCTATGTTAAGTGAGGGTTAGGTGAGGTTAAGTAAGGTATACCTGTACACTGCAGCCCTTTCAATGTAAATTTTGCCTCAAACTGGACACCTTCCTGGTCTAACTGTGGCAAGCTGACTGTCTCTAATTGTAGCAAGTTTATTCCCAAATTATGTAAGATCTTAGTAGAAATGTGACAGTTTCTCAGCCTAACAGTATAACTGGTTGTTAGCCTAACTCACAGGTCCCTAAGTCCCTGTCAGCTTGTAGTAATTGTTGTCTTGTCTCCCAACAGAGTGGTTTGGTCTTACTGTCTCAGCTGTTTGAGGAAGAACCTGTCCTGAGTCTCAAGTGTCGTACTCTGTCAAGCGGCGTCAACGGTGTAGTGTCCCCTGACATGGGCGAGGAGTTGGTCATTCTTTACCCTCGCTCCATCACCACCATAGATGGATTCTCTCTCTTTCAAACCTTACGTGGCTGTAGGAACCAAGTTGCCAAAGGTATATGGAGTGTACGGTTTATATTTACTATTTTTTCTCGTGCTTTCTGTTTGTAAATTCAATCTTTTGTTTGTTGAAGAAAATAACAAGGAGACTGGGAATGATAAACCCACATTTTATTGATTACAGAAATACATTAGGTGGGTTATGATTGAATAGGTAGAAGTTGTCTTAGAATTCTTAAAAGTGTTTTGACTATCAAGATAAATTCATGAAACAACACCATGTAAAACTCCTTGAAGTACTTGTAGTTAGTGGTTATCAAAGCTCAGGATGTAAGGAAAGTTTTTTGAAGTTTTAATATGCAAGATATTTTTTTAGCGATGCAGTAGTGACTTAGTCTGTTTAATGTGACAATCAGCCCCGTCCAGCAATATGATTTATAGTGTCGTGGTTGGGGTAGTGTGGTAGTATCCTCTCTGGAAGCAAATCGTAGTCAATCTACAGCACTTCATTAATTATTTGTTTTCTAACTAGCCAATCACAAGCCAAGACGAGAGAAAGAGGGCGGGGTTTACTAACTGGCCAATCACAAGCCAAGACGAGAGAAAGAGGACTGGGCTATTTAACATTACCATAATGAGCACACTATAGTTACTGTGTAATGATCATTGACCTAAATCATCGTGTTTGCGGTGACACTGCAGCAGCGGCCAGTGGCGGGGAGAGTGTCAATGTTCCACCACTTGGGTACAAAAAGTGGGGCCTTATAGACCAGGGGATGGTGAAGGACTGTGCCACTCCGGGTGTGATGCCTCCGTACCTCTACGACCACATGGCTCATTCTTCTCTGGCAAAGGGATTCAATCATGTCGTGTCCTCAGGTGAGTTATGTTATTCAGAATATTTATTACTCTATTACATAAGTTATTTTTGGTATTGTGTTTGTATAGACTAGAAAAGTTTTTTTTATAACCAGCGTGTACAATACAGTACTGTACCTCCTAGTTCTTAAATCATCTTCAGTAACTGTAAATTGATGTTTTTATTCTCTTAAATTGTTGTCTTTTACATCATTCACAGTAAGTCGTGTGTTTTACAGGTGCGCCGGCTACTTCTGTGTTAATGACGGTCGGTCGTGTACCCTTCGTTGGTTTCCTCACTGCTCAAGAGGGCTCTGCTCCCCCTTTTGTGGCAGATGTTGCTCGTCTGTATGCCAGTAAGCTCAAGGATGCTCTGGTCTCTGCTGCCAGGTAACAACAATACTGAGGAGGTTTAAAGTTTTCGTATAAAAAAGATTCAACTCCTTTATTACCCGTCAGCCCAGATTGAGGCATACAGGTATCATTGTCACCCTTGCTGTCTGTCTGTTTGTTAGTTTCTGCTCATAATCAAGGTATATTCCAATATGGATCTGTCTTAACCCTTACAAGTTCATATCACTGCTTCATCTAATCAACCTCTCAGACCAGCTGGAAGATAAAGTGAGTCTCCTTGACCTACTCTCCCTGGTCTTGTGGTCATATGGTTCCATCTTGTATAAACAAATACAAGAGTTTTAAACATAATTGAGAAAATAGAATAACTCTGAAGTGATTTATTAGATATGAAGTATAATTAGGTACAAGAACAGAGTCACTTGTTTAAAATATATAATAACTTTTCCATAATACTGTACAGGAATGTATAGACCTGCAGTGTTTATATACACGGTCGCTGAATCAATATAAACTCATATGATGATGATATTGGCTAGATATCTATAGACCTTAATATATATATGAGGCGGTGGTTGTCATTGTGTAAGAGAAGAGATATAGGAACTCCTTCTCTATATACCATAGTGGATATAAGGTTACAGAGATAAGGGAGATATAGATAAAACCATTTCTAACACACTGGGATATGTATGATGGTGATGGTAGGGATGGTGATGGTGGTGGTAGGGATGGTGATGGTGATGGTGGTGAAAGGGATGGTGATGGTGATGGTGGTGATGATGATGATGATAAAAAATGATAAACAAAATTAATGTTTACTCTGGTTACTCATTATTTATTGAAACTTGTTATTATTATTAAAAAAAATAAAAAAAGGTTGTATGTCCAATGCTCTGATCACCTCTGTGTTTCCTTCTAGTGGCTGGCTGTTTGGGAGAGCTAAGACAAAAGAGGTGGATTCGTCCAAGATGAAACCTAAAATTGAACTTGCTACCCCATTACCCTACAGGTGAGCCGCTGATGTAACTGTGTGAGTCTTCGAAGAGGTTTATTTGTGGTTTGACCTGTTGCAGTATGAGGCTGAATAGATCAAGAATAACAGATGTATCCAGTCAGTTTGTTTTTTAGCTAACAGTTCCTTTATTATATATGGTGTAGTGTAGTGTGGTGTATGTATGTATGTTTTATTAGATATTTTTTAGGTTAATTTTATTCATGATTGGACCGTATAGCCTCGAGAGCTGCCATTAGGTACTTGCAGCTAATTCACTCTAGTGTGGATAATGGCCTTGAGACAATTATTATTATTATGATGATGATGATGATGATGATGAAATAATGTAACTTGAGTAACAAAGAGAATCATCAATCAGTTACATAAAAGCCACAGTTGAAAGAGAAAACATTTGGTGTGAAATTTATTTGAGTTAATTATCGTTTTAAGCCATTTAGACACAACTACTTCACTATGTCTACTTACTGTTGTGTTCTATTAACTTTTCTTCACTTGTTATTTATGTCTTCCTTCCCGTCTACAACAGATGGTCTATACCAGATAAGAAAAGAATCGGTGTGTCGGTGAGTGTTTCCCTGGGACGAAGACTAGCAGTTGTCACGGATGATTTTGGCCGTGTGACGCTGATAGACGTGCACAGGTGTGTCGGCCTGCGCATGTGGAAAGGTACGTACTATATGCCGCCCTAGTCATATTCTTAGTCTTTGAGCGGGTGTTGGGGGTGCTGGGTTGTATGAAGTATGGGGGATAGGTTAGAAGGATGTATTAAAGCTGTGTTATTATATGAAGTGTCAGGGGTAATAGAAGGATGCATTAAAGCTGTATTATGGAGAGGAAACAAATCATACATTGCAACAGATAAAGCCCTTGAGTCTGGCTTCACTTCTCCTGTATCTGTTGTCCATAGAAACAAGCCAGGCCATTTGTCCAATAGTCTAGGAATTGAATCAGTTTAAAGGAACCAACTTGTAATACTCTTGTTGTCCATACCATTAATTTATATTTATTTACATATATTTTATTGTGTTATTCTGTCAGTAATTGTATTCCAGTTCTTATCTCTCTCTCAGTGTGTCTATGTGGCCCCTGAACGACTGTGGTGAGCCAGTTCTCCGTTCTATTATTAAAGTATTGAATATTTCCAGGTTACCGTGAGGCTAATTGTGGATGGCTCGAGGTGGAGGGGGAATGGGGCGGGACTAAGAGGCTCGTGGCGTTCCTCCTCATCTATGCTCCCCGTCGAGGCTTACTGGAGGTTTGGACGCCACAGCAGGGACCGAGAGTGGCAGCTTTTAACGTCCCCAAACAATCCAGGTAAAGCGTTTTTTTGGGGTAATTTATTTGAGTAGAGGAATTATGGATACCTTTTGTGTTTACAGTATCTTATTTCTGTATTTTATTCCTTTTTTAATCTTTTGTGTGGTGTGGAAAGTGAGTGGTGCAAGACAGGTGTGGAAAGTGACAGAAAAATGCTGAAACAAGTTGAAATATTCTCATTTAACTGTAAAGCATATGTACAGTCATGAACAATGATCCTGTCATCTCTTGCCGAGCCACTGAACCCCGGGATTCAGACTCATGAATCCGAAGCATTTATGGGCAGAATAATGTACAGTATCAGTCTACGGCTTCGGGTTCACGAATCTGAATCTCGGGTTCATGGAGCAGCAAAAGAGGCAACAGGATCTTTGTTCATGACCGTGCACTTCCCATAAACTTGAGGCATATTTATTCTTTATTTATTCATCCCAACAGTCTCCTCTATACCACCATGGAGTCTTGTATGACCTGATACATCCTTCTGCACTTTAAGGAATTCTTCTTAATCTGAAAACTATCATAAATAATCATAAAGTTTATTTTATTTAGCTGTGAACTAAGTGACAATTATCTCTCGAACAGATTGATATACACTCCCCATACGATGCTGGGAGTAAACAGTGTCCGAGGAGTTCGATGTAAAGTGTTTCCGGTGATATTCATTACCCCAGATGGCTTGATAAGTGAGGTGTCCATTCCTTTCCACTTGGCACTTGGGTGAGTATCAACTAAATTGTATATAGAGCATAGGTTTAAGGGTAATCCATCTGCTGTTCAGTAGTTTTTATATCGGTTTTGTGTGTGTTGCTTTACTTCCATGCCATTTTATCCTTACACAGCATCACAGTCTCATTCTTTGACATATTGCATTACTGTATTATTATCATCATTATTTTATTATTTTATTTTTGTTTGATTTATCATAAATTTTATTTATTATGAATTATTATGACTGGTATTTATTTTTATTATTATTATTATTATTATTATTATTATTATTATTACATTTTTGCCCCCCAGGCCCCGATGTGGGTCAGTGACCTGTGTCCGGGTGGGCTAATCCCCATAAAAAAAAAAGTTAACAGAAGTGCCCCCTCCCTCCCTCCCTCCCTCCCTCCCCAACACACACAAAAATGTTCGCTTCAGAAAGGTGAAAGTTTTTTATATAGAAGAGAAAATAATATCAATTAATTGGTATTATATTTTCAGAGGCAAAACTAGTAAACGAGCGCGAGATCTCCACCTGGTCAAGACCCTTAAGACTCACCTGAGGAATGGTAACGAGGAAGAGGTGTTGGCGACCATGTGCGAGATCAAGACCGCTGGGGTGCGTAAACAGGCTGTGCTGACGCTCATCATGTCTCAGCACCTCACTGTACCTCTGTTACAGGGTCTCCTTGATCACTTCCTCTCTCTCTATGTTGTAGTGGATGACACACAAGATGGTAAGTCAGGTTCAGATATTTGTTAACTTCTTCACTATATAAAGATGGTCTGTATAAGAAGGAAACACTATACAGAAGTGGTCCATATAAGCAGCTAACACTATACAGAGCTGGTCATTATAAGCAGGAAACACTATACAGATTTTTAATTGTCTATTGTTTGTTTGTTTTTTATTGAAATTTTATGCAGATTTTTATATTTCCGAGAGTACAGTAATTATTTGTTCCCTTACAGAAGAAGGGGCTCAGAATCTGGATCATGAGAGCCGCTTGCTTGGCCAACAGCTGCTCCGCCTCAAGCAACTGCTGCACTTATACACTGCCCTGACTCAGCTGCATAAAGTGCGGGAAGCATCACCTGACCCAGACGACCAAGACCTTGTAATAGTCAGTTCACTCTGCCACTTAAAGAGTTAATTCTTGTTCAATAAACCAAATTACTGTTGTTGTTTGTGTTTTTTAATATATGTATAAGCACTACCTGTATCATGTTTTTAGTACTCACAGTTTTGAGTTTTAAAAATGAAGAATATATTCCTGGCTTACAATATCCTGTGCTGTACAATACTTCTCTTTCAGGAACTGGCAAAGCTCTTGGTGTTGACTCCACATGAGACTGGGGAGGTGTTGACTTCCTGTGAACACAACGGCTACTCCAACTACTTAAATACATGTACAAAGAAGGTATATAGTGTGTGTGTGTGTGTGTGAGGTAGATAGAGAGAGAGATTAGTAATCTTACCACTTTCCTGTCACTTTACACTTGTCATGCACAGGATGGCTGAATTTTGTCTGTTTAGGGAGGTGGTGGATATTAAGTATTATTTCTACACTTAAACTTTCTTATAAATTTCACTTGAAGATCTGTACTTTGTCTCTACTGAGGACCATTAAAATACAAGACATTCATACAAGAATTTGGCTTTGTAGTGTTGCATTAGTATAAATTATTTTGTAAATATCTGGTTTTGTGTAAATAATCTAACACTGTATTTTTAGTATATGTATGGCAGCTTTTAACTAATGTTCGTACATGATATAAATTTTCCAGATAAAACGACAAAACAGGATAATGAGTCTTATTTGGGTTGTGCTGTATTACCATTCTATAAACAGATACGTTTACAGGGTCGTCGACACACATTATGAAGTTTTATTCAGCAGCTACAGTAGTTGTGTGTATATTAACTTGTATAATGTCTTTTTCAGGTCACGTTTCTTGAAGTTGCACAAAATATAAGTGTTGGGTCTTTTATCCGGTGTTGGGACGTGTGTGTGGGTACTCTAGCCAAGACCGACGGTGCCTCTGTGCTGCCTGTAGAGCTGAAAGAAGACATTCCATCAGAGAAGAAACTCAAGCTTGGTACAGTACTTTTATAACTTGTAATCTTTTTTAATCTTACAGCTTTGGGGTGACTGATACAAGGGTGACTTCATATGTATGCTGATATGCCCATGTCTAGATGTTTTTCATTCATTTATTTCCAACTGGATGTCAAAATAATCAGAAATTTCTAGGCATGTCTTAGGATGAGAATTATTTTATTAAAGGGAGTTCAACGAGTCAGGGATCTTTACTTAAAGAATTGATCGGAATAATTTTGACATTACAAGAACATTCAGAATACCATATATAAAAACTGACTCCATGATGGGTGACTGCCTGTACCACACTTCATTATTGCCTGTACCACACTTCATTATTGCCTGTACCACACTTCATTATTGCCTGTACCACACTTCATTATTGCCTGTACCACACTTCATTATTTAAATCAAGCTCAGGGTTTTTGGTGAATGTTTAGATAGGAAGCTCAGTAGGTACGGTATTTAAAGATGTTGAGGATAAAGGGAACCGTGACTTACCAGTAGGGATTTGTTAAACAGATGGGATGAAGAGTTGAATGTAGGGAGGCAGTCATTCCTCCAATAGTTATATTTTTTTAGGTTTCTTTATGTATTATGTTAATTGATTTGTATATTTTCTTGCAGGTGAATTTCTGTATGGATGGGCATGGCACGGGGAGAGTGTCAAGTCATTTAGGACAGCTATTAAAACCAGCGGCACCAACCCTGAGTCTCTGCTCCACGTTGCTCTCATACACTGGTCACTCAGCCCTCACCCAGACACTGTGGCTGCTCTCCACTTTGGCACTATCGTACACACGCTCTCTTCATTAGCAGGTGAGGCTGGGATTAACAGAGTGTGTGTGTGTATTATATTTTGTCCCTTTCCTTTCACTATCTATCATTTCCTAACTTTCTTTTTGGTTTCTTTACCTCTTAGTTCATCCCACATAAGAGTAGAGGGAGTCTTGATGGATGGATATATTTTGTGTGCATTTCCTCTTTCTGTGATTACTGCATTAAATGTCATAGTTTAAAGTTAGCTTTGTGAACGAATACATGATTACAGTATACATAATAACTATATATTTATTCTTGTTGTTATTTATGACTTTGATTCTTATGATATATGTTTGACAGGTGATAAAGTTCTGTGTGATATCAGTGAACAGAGCCAGTGGTGGACAGCGGTGAGGGACAAGTTGATAGCTTCTACTCAGCCGTATCACGCGTTCATAGCGGCACTCCTCTGTAGGGGTAGTCATGCCACCCTTGAAGCTCAGTCACACTCCCGCAGACAAAGTAATATAAAGAAAGCTAAAGATACTGAGGAAAGTGAAGTTGAAGCTAAAACTCAGACAGCTGACGGCTATTCTTCTTTAAATGACTGGGAAGGATTATCTATGGAGATGGTGGAGTGGAACTTGGTGTTGTGGCAAGTGGAATGTCTAATGCCCCTGAACCAGCTGTTGTCACTGTTGCCACCAAATGGATCAGAGAGAAGACCCAAACTGGAGGTGTCTGCAAAGGCCCTACTGGACAAGGGTAAAGGTATGTACAGTACTCTCTCTCTCTCTCTCATGTGCAGAAATTGATTCCACAAATTGACTCCATAAGAGAAAATATGACATTGAAGCATTTTCATGTGTAATCAACTTTAAAGGATATTTTGTTTTATGAGTTTCTTCCCATTATAGGTCAAGGTTAGCCAGAACTAACAGTAGCAGATTATCTTTCATTCCTTGTCACTCAGGCTGTCTAGCTGTTGTGCCAAATGTGATTTAATTTAGCCACACTTTTTGTTTCCGTGTAGGCTACGTTGCCGAGCTGGTGGCTAACTGGTTTATTGGGTCTGGCTTGTCCTTGTCCACGGTTGAGAAGCTGCTGGAGCAACAAGACACGTATAGAAAATCAAAAGAGCGGGAGGAGGCCATGGACGTTGATAATGGCAGAGAAATATTGGCTGGCGATGATGAGAAAATGACCGTAGATGTTGAGGAACCTGATGAAGAAGATGCCACCTCTGAAGAGATCAAAAGTAAGTGAAAAGTGGGTCCCATAGGCCTGTGTTAACCCCTTGAGTACTGTACCAGGGGTGTGGGGCAAGTTAAATATTAAAGGTGATGACTGGTAATGAAGAGGTTAAATAAGTGTTGATTAAAAAGTCAAGCGAGTTTGTGTAAATGAATCACTTTTGTGCTTGAAGTCATGAGCTGAAAGTCTTACGTAAGATTTAATAACAAGGTTATCAGATGGAAAATATATTTCTTAATTTAAATATTTATTTATGGTATTTGCAGAACTGTTGAGAAGAGTTGGAGCGAAGTTCCCACACTCGGTAGCTGGCGATTCAGTCTTCACAAATATGGCTTGGGAGTTGGCGGCAGCTTGGCACAAAACTCCAGATGACGTCAGTATGCTGTTCCAGGCCCTGTGCCACATTGACAAGATAAAGAATTCTCACATTAGACACGGTAAGACACTTCTGTATCTGTTACACATTTATGATGCAACATTCTCTACCTTGTTTATGGGATTAAGGTGTTAACTACCTGTGTATGGGATCTCCTCTCTGCTGAACAAGATCGTTGGCATTAGTCAAATATTAAAAGTGACGTCCCCATAGTGAAGAGGTTAATGTAAATGGAGACTTTTATTATGACTTCCAAGTTCATGCAGTCTGTAAGTGATGCTGGTTGGGACATTATTCTCTGTCCAAAAACAAGTGAGTTTGAGTGATAAATTAATCGTTTACTGAGAGCAAACTTCTTTCTTCTGTGCTGTATTGAAATGTCATCATGCAACTGTAAATATATATAAATGAATGTAGTTTAGGATTTAGGTGTCATAAATTATATACTATGTTGTCTTAGTCACTTATTAGAGATTGGGTACAGGTATAATAATAGATTGGTATAATATGGATGAATCTTATAACCACTGTAGAATACTAGTCAGTACGTACCTGTATTACCTGATATTGATCTACAGGTGTTTCTCTGATGATCTGGGAGACCTGGGTGAGTCAGTGTGTCCGGGCAGCCTCGGATCTGATGGAGAAGGTGGGACGACTACCGAAGGATAGACTCTGCCGCCGTGACCTGGGACTTGGTGAACACAGCCTGGCACCAATGTTCCAGGCTGGTTTAGGATTACTGGAACAAATAATGGAAGTGAGTGTGTGTAGGTAGTAGTAGAGGAGGTTACCTTGTGTAGTGGATGAGTGGATAAAGCATTCATCTACTGTCCTAAAGGTCCCTAGTTTGAATCCATTGCACTCCCTGTTTATCAAGCTGTAAATGGAGAAGTGATGGTATTATCAGGTGAACTGACAATTTGTGAAAGAGTTCTGAAAGCTCTTTAGATAACAGGACAAGTATTATTTATATTAATTCTTGAATATCATTATCACAGGCAAATGTGGTGTGCGAGGTGGAGAAGCCATTGGTGTTGTCAGCTGATAGGTTCTGGATGGGTCAAGAAGGTTCCCCAGCACTAGTAGAGTTGACCATCATGCAGAAGATGACCTGTTATGACCTCGTGTACCAGCATTACCAGTTGGTGTCTGTACTGTACCTCACCGCGCAGCATAACCTCAAAAACATCAGACCGTTGTCGTGTTTTGATGGCAAGGTAAAAAGTATTGGCATTCTTGGATACTGGACAGTACTCAGACCACTGTATGGAAATGACTTAGAAGTGTGTTGGGTTTGTTGTTATAGTGTATGTACTTTGGCATGTTATAGTGTATACTGTATATACCTGCCCTATTTTCTCGTATTTAGGATGGGTAACCTGATCCAGCGATGGTGTCAAATATACACACAAGATATTGAGAAATTAACTAATTCGTAAAAATAGACGTGATTTGGGTATTGTTGCAACTTTTTTTTAATTACTTCAGGGTCGTAGTGTGTTATTTAAGTCCCTAACAACGAGCTGGACAGTTGGCGGCTACACTGACCCTGCAGTGTCCAAGGCTCGTATGGCTCTCCTGTGTCGGGTGATCACCGCCGCCATCACTTCTCTACCAGACATAGCTGGTCCAAGTCAGGTGAGTTTGTTCTACAAATTGGATTGTTCTTGATACCTAAAGGAGTCAGGTCACAAGAAATAACCATAAGAGTAATTTTTTTAATATACATTATACAGTACAAGGAGCATGGTGGTTGAGTGGATACAGCGCTCGCCTCCTTTTCTAGGGGTTGATGGTTCGATTCCCGGGTACTTCCAGTTCACCCAGCTGTAAATGGGTACCTAGTTTTACAACTTGGGTAAGTGAAGGTGGTCGAGTGCCATGCTGCCTCCTTGTGTACTGAAGGCTTAGTATACAGTCCCTAATGGACAGGCATGCCTGTGAGACCCACTTTCACTTGTACAGTACAACCTCTATAGTACAGTATTGACCTTGTGCATTTATACAAACTTCTGCATTACCTATTCCCAGGGTAACTCGACGAACATACGTCAAGCAATAGACCTGGGTAGGGCCTGGGGGCTGACTCTCGACGTCTTGAATCGTCACCACATCTGTGAACTCTACACATCTGGTTTTGATAGTGCAGCTGAGGAAGTATGTACAGTATAATACAGTACCAGAATATTGTTATAGTGTGGCTGAGGAAGTATAAAATAAATTGATGCTATATTGTGTAAAGCTGTGGTATTGCTTATATTTATATGCAATTTATATCTATTAACTGAATGATGGAGGGAGGGAAGGTGAGGTGAGGTGACAAAAAGGTGAGAGGTTGAGGAGAGAGAGAGAGAGAGAGGACTAGTGTAGAGGAAGACCCAGTGATAAATCTTCTTACCCTTAACATAATGATATTGACACACAAGGTTAATAATAAAAACTATCTCTACCTATGTACCATACTAGCAACAATTACACCTGCAATATAAACTTTACCTCTCTGTAACGAAACTTATATATACCCTGTACCTAAATTCACTATATACCGAACTGCTTCTCAGATTCCAGTATAGTATTCCCTTTACCTACCAAACTGGCTGCTCACTAATTATACTCTTATTTGAAGCAAGTATGGTTACTTATGGTGATAGTACAGTAATTCTTCTTCCCTGAGTATTTGAACCACACACCTACAGCACACCCCTCCCCAGAATGTACCGAACCTCGACTCCCCGACACGCCAGCCAATCATGACAGTTCTCTTGGATGACATTCTTACAGGTTAGGTTAGGTTATCATACTCACTTGAGGGTCACCAGACAGCACACCCAGTTATTGAGAGAACACAGGTACCTTGTTTTCATGGGTGTAGGATAACAAAGAGCATTTCACTACCTTTGGCTGAGGAAGAATCAACCAATGTATTGTGGTTATAGTGTAGCTGAGGAAGAATCAACCAATGTATTGTGGATATGGTGTAGGTAAGGAAATGTGTGTATCTAAATGATGAAATTTATAATGAACAGAAGATAATTTGACTCTCTACTTCCCAGGTTCTTCCTATAGTCAACGACGGTCCATTATTAGGGTCTCAGTTGGTGTTACTCGCCGGCCAACGACTACACCACCACCTCCTCAACTCCCCGCGTACTGCCCACCACCTGGCCTTGACGTCACCCACCATCACTGAATGGGTCAAGTCCTGTGTAAGCCTCTCAATACCTCATACTTCTCAAGGATTTGGTTCTCAGGATTAAAGCACTGTAGTCGCATTTCCATTAAAAAAATCATATCCCCTCTATTTTTAACTATGATTCTTAGTATGTAGATTAATTATGCACTGTAAATGGGTATAAAGCATTTTTGTTTAACTCAAATTAGGTGTTATTTCATGATTTACTATCTATACTATGTGTGTAAGTTGAGGATATGTGCAGAGATGTGTGGATATTTCTACTTGTTGTGTTAGCACTTCTGTTGCTCTTTTGACACTTGTTTTGCATAATTCTTCCAGGTTATTTCTCTCCTTTTTCTTTGAGATTTCTGACCCCTTTGATTCACCCTACAAAAGTGGAAAAGGAATGAAGGTAGAATTATAATTTTTGCAACAAGAATTAATTTTGGTATAGATAAGTTCAAATTGATAATATAAGAAGTTAATAAAGTTATATGTTATTATAGAAGTTACGTAAGATCATAAAGACAGGTACAGTACTTTGCTCTATACTCTTACACAGTCTTTGCTATTGTTATCACTGGTGTCATGTCTGTCTAAGACTGTCCATAATTACACTACTATCATGTTAATATTCTTGTCCCTCTAAAGTTATATTTTTGAAGCTGTTCTTTTCTGGATTCATGAGGTAAAAACATGTACTGTGCTGTGCTGCCTTTCTCAAACTCAAACATTTTGGGTTAAGTCTTTACAAAGTACTAATGCATAGACAATACTGTACATTCAGCATACATATCCTTATGAATCACAGGACAGTACCTACTGTCCACCTTGATATTGTCATTGTATTGTGAAATTGACAAAAACACGGACATCCCTGATAGGTTTAATGAACTATTTTTACCAACACACAGTCAACATATATGCAGTACAAGATATCCCTTATTTTTACCAACACATAAAGTATATACATTACATACAGCTGTACTTATAACTATGTATCATCTCCTTGACTGTTAATTTACATCTTTATTTTCTCCACCAAGCCACAATCTGTTCCCTGACCTGATGAGAGTTTCTTGTAACAGGACACTGGGAGTCTACGGTGTCCGACGGTGCCTCTGGAGCAGACGCTGATGCTCCTCACAAGGGCCCTCAACCTGCTCTCAGAGTCCAGTCAGGAATACAAGATGGCCACTGCGCTCTATGAAACTTTGTCGGCCTTTGTACGGGATCAGAGTTCATCGTGTACGTAGTCTTCAATGTCTCGTATAACATCATCTTAATAAGGGCTGTTATATATATACTGTATTATGTATAATGTCTTTCATTATTCAAGATAGTTATTCCTGGCTTGTTAAACTCAAAGGGAATTTATTTTCATAATTTCCTTACTGTACTTCATATAGTTTCACATTTTATGCAAGGTATTTTTGGTAAGCTGATCATTGTTGAGGAGTTGTTGCTATACACTTTCAGCATTAAAATATTTTGCCTATTTTCTTTAATTTTTACTGAACAGAAATGACATCTCATTCATCTTCAGATTTGCAAAAAAATGTTCTTGGAGAAGGAGCGAGCTTTAAAAAAAAATATTATTTCCCAATTGTAAAAAAATGGAGAGCGCATTATATAATTTTTTTTACAATTTTGATACAGCTGTGAGGGCGAGGAGTAAGGAAATAGAGTTGGGGATACTAGTGTAAGGTGGACATGTTCAGTGTATGGAGAGTTGACTGGTACATAAAGATGTTCCTAAGTTTTGCATTTCTATAATTTATCACTACTGTACTATGAGCACAGACTGTGGCTCACACATTAAGCTGTGCTGCCAATGGCTACAGGATTTTATTAGTGTTGACGGAGATTTTATAATGGTAATCTTTCATGTCCTTTCTAGATTTTATTTTATGCTAATGGATGTTTAATGCAACAATCAAAAACATTAAATAAAATGTTCTAAGACTAAAGACTACACAATAATAAATGAAATTTAATTGGAAAAAAATTATTGTGCCTACATTTTGGTGAATATCTGCAGATGTTCCTTGTTATTCAGACTGACTCACCTCCATCAGTAAGGAGAGGTGTGGTGTTAATGATGTATTTCCAGTGAGTATATGAACAATACCGTATTGTATGTGTGGTGTGGCTGTCATTATGCTCCCCTCCCCTCCCCTTCATGGAGGATGAGTGGATACAGCACTCATCTCCTAATCTAAGGGTCTTTGGTTTGTACCGAAGGAACCCCAGTCGACCCAGCTGTAAAAGGGTACCATATTTATCTGGTAACTTACAGAGGGAAGACAGTTAAGTTTAGTGCTTCCATGTGTCCTGAAGGCTTAGTAGACAGGGTGTTTTATCCCTACTGTCCTAAAGGGTTTATCTGGAATCCACTTTCATATACCTTTATATCATTATCAGCTTGACCATGTTGTAACCAGGGTGGGTGTTCATTATTGCATGAGTCTGGGAATATGAAATGGTGGTGCTTGAGACAGACACTTACAGCTGCTCCCTGATGCTCTCTCTGCCACAGTGTATCAAAGATGATATAAAAAGAGTTCTGTGTAATTGTTGAATATTTTGTATTTGGATCATTGATGTTACAAAGTTTTTATGTTCTTGGTATTTACTTTCAAACTTGATGATCTGTTAAAACAACATTCTTGAGGTCTTGAGGTACTGTATAGAATTGTACAACATCATTAGCAAGAGTAAACCTTCATGACTCCAGCCAATGTGGTCCCTCTTACGGCCGGAGGTTGAATCACCCTCTTCCATTACTTGGGGGTCATCGTGTTTCAACCAGAGTTAGAAATAAAAATGAGTCACAAAGGACAACGCGCTTCAGTGTTAAAACTCTGGTTGAAACACGATGACCCCCGTCAACGGAAGAGGGTGATTAAAAAACTGTCCGTTAATGTATCTTGAGGCCGAGGGACCTTTATATAACCTATAGTTTCTACATCACATCACCACCATGATACATCATTACTCAGTGTCAGTGTCTCATGTCAATGTATCAAACTGTGAACACCAAACATTGATTTAAAAATATAATTAATCAAACATGTTGCAGGTTTTTGTTAATAATACATAGCTGTTACCTGTTTAGTATTGTTTGTAACCAAATCGTCACCCAGATTTCAGAATCATTGGATATACAGACTTCTCACCAGACTAGTGTAGAGTACCAACTGTAAATAGCTGGGTGGAGGACACAGAGAATAAGAAATAATGTTTTATCTGCACAAGTCATCATTGTGTGTTCAGTAGATCAGCACAAGAGTAAGGTGGGAGACAGACAAATATTAATATTCTTAAATGTCAAAGTCTTGGTGTCCAGTGATGGATCTTTACACTTGTTTTGTGTTGAATAGAATCAGACTATTTCTGACCACTGAAGATAAGCTCCCATGTATACCAGCACATTATAATTAGGAAACAAATGGCTGCTAAATGAATTGACACTTTTAAATTACGAACAAATCAGGAATTATACATTTCATACAAATTTTTCTTTGACAAAAGCATAAGTACTTAAACTATTTATTTCTAGTAATAATGGAAAATAATCTGGTGTACATAATGATGAAAACTAGTAATTTAAGACCTGTTCTGGGATCCCCAGTTAGAGAAAAATGTGACATGGAACTCCTAGGCTTTACATTTTGTTTCTTCACACGACTAATTTATGATAGAATTTATTTGAGGTACAAGACTAAACTATCTCTTAACAATCCCTGAACTGGCAAATGACATTGAATACTTGTAACAGCAGATACAATGGATTAGGACCATAACAGAATCATAGCTTGTTTCCTTCTAGCTTCTGGTAGAGTCGTGTTATTGTCCTCACAGTCATTAGAAAGATGTCTGCCTTTGTATAGGACCAGTGAAGATATTTATGGTTTAAGCTCAAAGTTATTATTCTTATGTACTTCACTTTCAACTTGTAACTAATTGATGTGTGTGTGTGTGTGTGCATGCGTGCCTGAGAGGTGGAGATACATAAATTAACATGAGTTTGAAGAACCAAGAGGTAGCAGACATTTCACCACAGATTGACAATAAATTTAACTACATTACATTAATCTAATTTAACTAAAAAACTCTCTAGTTCTCATTACTTTAATTAACCATTTAGTATGTTAACTTCTATGCTAATTAGTACTATGAGTTATTTGCTAATCATGACAGTAGATAAATTTCCTTAATAGAGTTTGTGTGAGACTAAGTACCATATTTGATTTTGTTAAGAGGATTATATCAGGAGTTCAAAGAGGGGGGCGTGATCCTGCTCTTAAGCCGATATGTGTACAGGTTATGTTATCAGTGTGGCTGTGGGACCAGAAATCATTAAATCCCATGTTGACTGTGAACCTTCAAGGAGACCCCCTATGTACACAAATTCACCCGGGTTGGGGAAGATTTGTATATACCCAAACCATGAACGAGACCATATGTAAATTTAGTCTTTATATTGTATATCACCTCACAATTATGCCCCCCATACAAATAGTTTTAGGGTGATTAAACTTCAATCTGGTTTATCTTAGGGGGGGGGGAGGATGACTCTTTAGGTGAGCACTTCGGGGGGAGGGGGGCTAATATTCAAGTGATCTATAATGGCTAAATTTACAAAAAGTCTTGTTTGAAATTTTGTCTTCGATCTCATCACTGCATCCAATCCAGGATAATTTCTATACCAGGGGTCACCTATAGAGATAACAATTGACCCGACATTAGGTATTTTGGGTTCTTCAGTATAGACGCACTGTCATCATCTCTATGGAAGCTCATAGAAATATCATATCACACCTTTGAAATAATCCCATAAGGAAGAACAGAATCATAATGTGTTCAAGAAGCCTCAAGTTGTTGATGATGAACCTTAGTATAGACCAGGGAGGAATACTCACAACTTCTGTCATTCATAATCGTCTTCTCCTTTGATATTTATACATATTTCCTGAACTGTAGTACTGTACTGTAAACTATTTGGGGGACATTAACTAAAGACATTATTAACTATATTATGCACTGAAGTACAGTATTGAATAGAAACAAATTGAGTTTTCACATCATCTCTCAACCTACTAATCACATCACTGTTCTTCATATGAAAAATATCTGCAGAGAATATTAGCTCATGTCAGGGGTTTTGAAGTGAGTGTGATTGTGTTTTTGGAAACTCTCTCTCTAAGAAATAATAAGATATTTACAGTGTGTGTGTGTGGCCCACAACAATATGCCAACTTAATAGGTAAAATTTTTTAATGTGTTGGACTGATTCATTCATATCTTCCCAGTACATTTTATTTTTTGCTCATGTTAAAAATGGGATGAAACAGATTCCTATGTTCAGACACTATAAATGACCTTTAGCTATAAACTGTACCCCAAAAAAATCACTACCACAGTTAACTATGAAGCCCTGGCGTGATCCTGTAAATCTCTCGCTGATGTTAACGAGGGGTTGTGGGTGACAAAGTTGTGATTAGTCCAAGTGTAATTATCTTATCCATGGTGCTGATCATCCTTGTTAATAGCTGTTGATACATACATATATAGATAGATACGGTATATATTATTATTATTATTACTACGCCATTTCGATTTGGATATATACAACCGCTAACAAAAATACCATTGCCCCTTCTGCCGCTTCACGAACCCCGAAATTCAAACTCGTGAACCCGAAGCAGTAGACTGATGCATTATTCTGTCTATAAATGCTTCGGATTCACTAGTCTGAATCGTGGGGTTCGTGAAGCAGCAGTAGAGGTGACAGGACCTTTGTTTGCGACTGTACGTGAAACTGATGGTATTTGGATATCATGTGGTCGGGGTTAAATGATTCATCTCAGTTTTCTTGTCCAATGGAAGCTTTAATTATTGTATAACTACTGTAATATGAAAATGTTTTTAAATCTCAAATGAACTTAATAAATAATATTGTATTCATATATTGTATTTTATTAACCATACTTATACATATAAGAATTGTTTTACTGTGATGCCTGTAGGGGTATCGAGATATTAATGTTGTCTAGCACTCAGGATGGAAGGAAACTCTAATGTGGTTTTCTTGTATAATATATAAGTTATATGAAGACAGTCTGGTGCTGGAGGTGTTGCTTGTTCAGGAAGATGGGCAGAATGAGAGTTGGTTGGTGAGGAAGATCAGAGAAGGACAGCTGGTGGGTCGCCATGCTCGCTGGCGGGAGCGAGGACCGCCAGGCAGGCGAGGAGATGCTAGGGGCAGCCAGGCAGCGGTGGAGGAGGAGGTGTTGCTTGTTCAAGAAGAATGGTCAGAATGAATCTCAATGGAGAGACAGAGCTTATATACCCAGCAGCCGCTATGAGTCGTGTTGGGAAAACCCGAGAAGTCGCCGGCCTTTTGGCTCGGTTGCTAGGATACTGCGGGCATTGGAATGCGGATACGCTTGGTTGCTAGGGAAGACGGTAGCAGGTGGTGTGCAGCTACGCAGTTTGTAGAGGAGACGTCCACTACATGCCTATACTCTGTACATGAAGATCCTAGCAGGGTTCAGTTTGGGTCTGATAAATTCTGCACTTGAGGAAGCAAAAATTAACAATAAAACAACGATAAAAAAAGATTAGAGAACAGAATTTCACCAACACTCCTTTTCAGTCAGTCGCCTATGTATGAATCTTGAACAAAATCCACGTTTTTACTTCCTATGCCAAAACCATGGGTCATTTTCACGCTAAAACGCATTTTCTCTGGAAACTGAAAACGAGTGTTTAAAGCATTAAGATATACTATCATGCTGAGAATGGTAATCTCTAGCCTTACTTATGTAACTTCAATAAACTTTAAGTCCAACACATGTGAGGAGGGAGCCACCGAGTGCCAAAGGTTCCTCTCCTGACTCAGTGGTTAACTGTTCTACTGCTGTACCTAAGGTTAGGGCCAAGGCTATAGCCACCTTTATAATATAGTGTCATTTTGTCAGTTCATGAATCAATTTCATCAATTTACCTCTCCTGATAAGTGGTGGAAATAATAAAATAAAAACGCCGCCAACTGATCACCTCATGACGTCACTACCAGCTGGGAGTCAACACAACCACTCGAGGTGACACTTGACGTGGCGGGTGTTGGTCTGAGGTATAGCTCCACTAGTGAGGCGTCTACTCACAAGTATAGTTAATGTTAATGTGTAGAAAATATCTTACTGTACTTATAAAACTGTGTAGTAGTTTGAGCGTCTAGTGGTCGAGCTTAACCTCAACTTTGGATTGGTCGTTAGTGCTTGTACCAACATGAGAATGGGGCTGAGATTTGTCTTACAAAATAATATCTCATTATATCATTTAATATACTTCAATAGGAATTATAGGATACAGAACTGAAGCCACAAAACATGACTTCATAGTGTCTGACGCACCTAACTTGATATTAATGAAGTTAAGTTCAGTACACAGCATTGTGGAATTGAAAAAAAAAGATATATTGGTGACCTTTGTATTTGCTTAACTTTAAATGATATGATTTTTTTGCAGTTTGAAATATGAGTAAGAACGAGAGTGTGAGTGTGGCCATCGAGGAGAATGTTGCTCAACCTAAGAAGAATGTCGTCAAAGTGTTTGGTTTTCCCATCTCCAGTCTTCCTCCCACTTCACGGTTCATCCTCCTGTCACTGGCGGTCTTTATCTTCTATCTCATCTACGGATATATACTGGTAAGTGGACGCAGTTACCAACCATCTTGGCTCATGGTATTGTGTGTTGTAGCTTATTCTTGATACTGTAGTTTACACATGATGCTATAATTTAATATATAACATAGACCAAACTCTTAAGTCTTACGTCCAATACAGAAATTTTGTTTGGGTTAATGGGTCGTTTAACTTGTGAAATGTGGGCTACCCCCTCTAGCACACCCCATAGTACAGGTTCAAGGGTGAGTCGATACCCAAGAGAGGGAGAGGGGGGGGGGGGACTGTCTTTCTTCCTCTTTCAGTGGCTAAAGATATTATATAATTAACCTTTTCTTGAATGCTGGCTAATTAGAAATACTGAACCGATATCCTTTGCTTTATGAATGGGCTAGGTTGAGTTAGGTTAGTTTCCTCGAAAACTCTTGGTTAGGTGAATTTTTTATCTTGGGTATTCAGGTCAAATACGGCTTCAGCATTATCGTCAGTATTGTTAAGACCATTGGAGACAGGTCAGGTGAGGTCACTGACATGTTTCAGTCTGGATGTGAACTGGTTGGGGTAGTTAATCACCATGATGTATTCAGTCAATTTTTAGTGCCATAATATGTTTAGTTTATATAATAATTACCTGTATTGTGTCCATAGATTAATGTATTTTTTTATTGTTTGTGATAGATTTTAAACAGTTAATTGTTTTGTTGTAGAGACTCTAATTATTTGTCCCCAGGAACTAATCTTCACCCTGGATGGGATGCGGCCTCATGGTTGGTTCTTGACTCTGGTCCAGTTTGCATTTTATACGTTGTTTGCTCTCCTGGAGATTTTTATATCTGGCTGTAGTATTAACAGAAAGTAAGTATATGTGTATATGTATACTGTACTGTATATATGTATTTTAATGAACTTTGCTAGTGTGGATGTTAAAAAGAGTGACATCTACCATATTTTCCACATTGTGTCCTAAAAAAATAAGTGAAAATGACCATTACAAAAGAAGACTTGTATAATGTCTCACATAGGCTGAAAACTTCTTTATTATTATTGTTTAAGACTTGATTGATGATTTGTAACATAAGAGTGAATTTGAGCTTAACATTGATTATATAATAGAGTTCTTGGTGCAGGAGGAGAGACGAACGGACTCTGGGAGTAACTGTACTGTACTGCTGTCATGTGAAGTAACTCTCTTTTTTTTATTTCCCTTTTACAGAATACCTTTGAAAACCTATGTGATAATTGCTATATTAACTGTTGGCACAATGGGGTTTTCAAATTCTTCAGTTGGATATCTAAACTACCCAACGCAGGTATGATAACTTTCCTAAACTATTGAAAATGTTTATTGTATATTTGTTCTCGTTATGTTTATATAAACCCTGATATATCACACATTTTAGGGGTAATCATCCAATTAAAATTACAACTGATGTTTTAGTCCAATATCGATAATATTTTGCGCTCATTATTATAACATTATAGAAATTAGTTCACGTCAGGTCAAGTTTGGTCTGTTTTAATTAAGACATTAACTATCATAACACAGCCAAACTATACCTCAATTAGGGTAGGATAGGTTAAGTTAGGGTAGGATAGGTTAAGTTAGGGTAGGATAGGTTAAGTTAGGGTAGGATAGGTAAGTTAAGGTAGGATAGGTTAAGTTAGGGTAGGATAGGTTAAGTTAGGGTAGGATAGGTTAAGTTAGTTAGGGTAGGATAGGTTAAGTTAGGGTAGGATAGGTTAAGTTAGTTAGGGTAGGATAGGTTAAGTTAGGGTAGGATAGGTTAAGTTAGGGTAGGATAGGTTAAGTTAGGGTAGGACAGGTTAAGTTAGTTAGGGTAATATATAAGGATTTCCTTTTATTTAAATTTTGTATTATAAATTTCTACATAATCTTCTCTATATTCAGACTAATTTTATTATTCAGGAAAAACTGAAATTTACTTTACAAAAATTATCATTATATACTGTAGTCCTGTGTGTGTGTGTGTGTGTGTGTGTGTGTGTGTTTATTGGATTGTTGCAGTGAACATACATTTTGAGTGATGTATGAGCTTGGATGTGTGATGCAACAGAGGAACAGGAGAGAGAGTGATGTTGGGTTACTGTTGAAGAGAGGAAACACTACTGTAAGATACATCTATGATAAGAGTTAAGCAATGAGAGGTGTGTGTGTGTGTGTGGCAGGGGGTGGGTCCCTCTTGCTACTAGTTTCCAGTATGCATAGTACAGTAACAGGAAAAAGGTTTGCAAAGGTAAAACAGAAAAAAATATTGAGCATTGATATTATAACTTCCTTGAAAATATAATTCTTCTGTTTTAATTAATCTTGTACAAATATATAATATATAATGTGCATCATATAATTATTAATATATTTTCTCGTGTTTGATACCGGTATAAATCTTCCATCTTCAGGTTATATTCAAGTCGTGTAAGTTGATACCAGTAATGATTGGTTCGATGCTAATCCTCGGGAAACGGTATTCATTCGCTGAAGTGGTGGCCTGTCTGTGTATGAGCCTGGGATTGATCTGGTTCACCCTCGCCGACACCACCGTCCAGCCTAACTTCTCCATAACTGGTAAGTGGTTTTTATACTAACTATGCACAGGATAATGTGTTCTTTGTTACTTTATTCTGTGTTAAATATTTTATGTCTGTTGGTCACTCCTGGTCGACTGGTTACAGGAGGTGGTGTTGCTGCTATCGTCTTTTACCGGAGGTGGATAAATTTTTTTCATTAGTTTGTTGCCTGTGTTTGGTAGACTCTTGCTATTTGCTGATTGTGACAATTCGCTGGGGTCTGTGGAACCTAGCCCCTCTGAATAGCAAAGGTCATCTGTACTGTATATTCAATATTTATACATGGAAATATTTGTTATTTTGCAAGTCAATTATTACATGTGGCAATATTTTTTATGTCTCCTAAATTATAATGGTAATCAATGGAGAGATTCAATTTAATATATGATAAATTAATGATGGAGTTTTAGTAGGGCAGCCATAACACTGGTAGGTGGAGGGTTGCCTGTACACCTCTGTCCTACCGCGATTGAACATTATTTACGTTAAAATGCTGTTAAAGATTTGCCCTAATCCCTTCACTACCGGGATGCCACTTATAACACTTTATTTGGGTAACGCCAGATGATGATATTCGCCACAGAGAGATGGCCCCGTACACGAGGGCTTAATGCACGGAAAGATAAAAGATATATTTTTCTACAGGTGTTGCACTGGTGAGTCAAGCACTGCTGTGTGATGCTGTCATCGGCAACGTCCAGGAGGGAGCCATCAAGAAACACAAGGAGGACACGACCCACGTGGTCCTCTACTCCTACAGCATCGGGTTTTTCCTGATATTTATTGGTCTCATCTTAACAGACCAGTTAATACCAGCTGTGTCCTTTGCCAGTCAGGTGAGTTGTGAGATACTGGCACTGAAACCTTGAAGTAGTTTTATACTGAATAGAGGTCTATACTGTATATAAAGTAGGGTTAATATTTCCTGGGTGTCCAACAGTTCAAGTAAACACAAAATATATGTTCAACAATGTCATGTGCTTTTTTAGGATGTTCAATGGACCACCTACTGGGATTCATGTTCAAAATATTTTACATTGCATTGCTTTTCCTGGACAGAATAACATATCTTTCTGCTGTGAGATGCCTTTTCAGTACAGTATTATGAATCTCACAATACTTACTTCATCCTTTTAACTATTAACTAAGACTTATGCTTCATTATTTCTTTTCTCTGCCAGTTCCCGTGGGAGGTGTATGGCCGTGCTGTGTTGCTCTCTGCAGCGGGGTTCTGTGGGGTGCAAGTTGTGTTAACGTTGGTGACTTTTTACGGGGCCCTGGTTGCTGTCACTGTCACCACCTTCCGCAAGGCCATCACCATCTGCCTCTCTTTCATACTCTTCAGTAAACCATTCACCATACAGTAAGTTCACCGTACAATAAGTTCACCACACAGTAAGTTCACCATACAATAAGTTCACCATACAGTATGTTCACTATACAGTAAGTTCAGGGCTGTTTGTGTTGACTGAATATTGTGAGTATATGAAATATTGTAGGTCATTATTTTGATGTATTTCATGAATTATTGGAATTGTTGAAAGCTGAATTTAACAGACAGTACAGTATCCTCTTATGTGCTGTAATGTCTTAAAGTTTTACAAATAAAGATTATGTAAACCTCAGAGTTGTTTCTTGTATTACTATAGCAGCAGACACAGTAGTTACATTGTACTGTATATATTTTCTTTGCAGCACAATTATACTTTTATGATATGTTGGAATAAAATTTATGTTTGGTTTTAATTTCTTGAACTTATTAATTTTCCAGATTGTTCATGAGTTAGTGTGTTGTGTTGCAGGTATGTGTGGGGAGGACTGCTGGTAATTGCTGGGATATATCTCAATATGTTTGGGAAGAAGAACAAGAGTTCCACTCCCTTACTGGTGTCTATACAACAGATTTATATGAAGGTCCAGCAGCATATGGCACCAAAGGTCAGCCAGATACATGAAGGCGACAGATCAACATTCAATATCTGAATATCTTATTGTATTATTATATTGTGACACCAAAGTGTTTTAAGTCATAGTTCTCACCTGGACACACTAGGAGCTGTTGTCATATTGCCTCCACTTAGTGTTGATAAATATACAGTACTGACCAAAGATAGATACTGGTAGGAACTGAAGGACATCTGCTGTACAGTGCAGAACTATGTGTAATGAAACACCTGACATGCATATTTAGTTCCAGCTTGTACTCTATGATGATTATAAGGTTGACCATAGCTATGGTTAGACCTAAGTGGATGTAAAACACAATGTGAAAGGGATACAGTACAGTGTGCACAACATTTATTTTGTGTGTTGCTTGCAGTTGAATGTTTAGGTTATCCTAGTTGTCCCAAGAGTAGTGCTTGACTGCCAGCAAGGTCATCATACTCTGTGTGTGTTATGAGTCATTCATTTACATCAAGAGGAAGGAAACTCCCTTTGGACGCCTCGGGTTATTTTGCGATTTTATATTACCGTTTTTTTATTTTGCGTCTACCTAAATCACAACCATATTCCTGAATGAGAGAAAAGCCAGACTCAAAGTATTTTAAATCAACCGCTCTGTCAATTATAACTACCCTAATGCACACTTCTGCAGCTGCATTGGTATTCCTTTTATTTTTAGGGGGGGGGGGGAAGGGTGTATCATGTGACAGGAACATATTTATCTTCTATGGGAAAATTTCCATAAGTAGCAGGTAGACATGTCTTACCATCATCCAGTATTGCTGTCGAATCATTGGGTCACTTGGTCGATCAAAGGCAGCGATATCTTGTGCAATTTTCTTTCTTTTATTTTGCAATTTTCTTCTCTTTTTTTTTACAGCTCTCTTTATTTACCCATTGTGTACCTGAACGTTGTCTATTTCCTGCTTATTTTAAATGAATAAATAAACCTATTAAGCAATGTTTAGGGAATTTTTTAGGCCCGCTGCCCCTAACTCCTTACTGTATTTTGTATTGAATTACTGTATACTGTATATGTATATTTTTATCTCACTTATGGCTCCTATGTTGCGAAATAACCCGAGGCTGCTGTATTTGTGGGACTGTTTAAGTTTTTCAGGTTACATGATCAATTTCTTTCCTTGTTAAGTGGTTGATTCTGTCTTAGCAACTGTGTTCCATTTCACTTGGTAAATTATTTTATATATTGGGTCCAAACTGGTGCTTCATTATAGGATTCTGGGGACTATTGGTAAACAATTTTTAAGATATGTTTTAAATAATGTTGTTGGTCAGTAGATTTTATATGTACTTTAAGTGTTATATATTTTATTAATTAGGCAGAGTTTTGTCCCAAGAAATAATATATGTTTTGTCATGTCTCTGTTTAAGTTGTAGTTTGACGATGATCGAAAGTTAATGGTAGATTTTATGTTTTATTATTGTAGTACTGTGAAGTGGTGCATCACATTCTTCTGTAGTTATGGCGGAAGGGCATTCTGTAGTTCACACAACAGTGCATTGTGTAGTTTAGACAGCAGTGCATTCTGTAGTTCAGATAGCAGAGAATTCTGTAGTCCAGGTAACAGTGCATTGTGTAGTTCAGGCAACAGTGCATTGTGTAGTTCAGGCAACAGTGCATTGTGTAGTTCAGGCAACAGTGCATTGTGTAGTTCAGGCAACAGTGCATTGTGTAGTTCAGGCAACAGTGCATTGTGTAGTTCAGGCAACAGTGCATTGTGTAGTATTAAAATTAATCCTGGATTCTTGGGTGAATATTTCCATACATTCCATTGATTCATCAAGTATCCCCAGGCATCCAGCTTAATGGTCAGGGATCTGTGTTATTTTTGTTTTGGTAAATGGTTAATAATGTGACAAGAAAAGACATCATTATAAAGTTAGGTTTTATATTAATTGTCATTAAAATTAAACAATATTTTTCTGTTTCATGTCGTCACCTTGTTTGTAGATGATCAAGTGTATTGAATTGTTTCCAAATTATTATTATGACTAGTGGTGATATGGCTAACCCCAAATCCACAGTGCACATGACCTGCCCCAACACAGGAAACATTATCAACAATGTAACTTCATTAGCCTTCCCAAGCCCTTTTCCACATTGTTGATATTCTATGTTGATGTGACTTGAACTACCTCACCTTGTGTGTGCGGGACCGAGGAATAAGTCATAGTGATTTCCTTTGGTATCGGCTGTAAGAGTTAATCCTGTGACGGTTCCATGTTAAAGTCAGTTATCAGATCTAAGGGAATTTGCATGCTTGAAAGTACTTGTTTGGACTTCAGATTTCAGAATGTTTCTTGAATAAGTCTCATATGTTCTGTTGGACACACAGGGTTGTACTACTGAGTTATCATGTGTCTGTTCAAAGTGATATAGGTTCTTCAGTTTCAGTTTCTCAAATGTCATGATATAATGTATAGTACAGTTCAATACAGCATATCATTTAGTATAGGTTTGGACAGTGACTTATTAACTCTGGGCCGTGACGAGACCAATGCGTTGACTGTCCGGCCACCTCCTCCAGGATCTGTGGTCGAAACATTGCTCATGGTAGTCACCTCTGCTACACAGCCCCTCTCCCCACCCCATGTACACCCTCGCCTTCTTGACACCATTATACCATCTCTTCTTCTGTCTCTATTTCCCCAGACTCTTCCCTCTGTTACCAGCTTCAGGAATCTGTCTGTGTGTTTGATTTAGTGTCATCCTCTGTCTGGGTCATTGGTCTTACTACTGTGTTTCTCGTTCTGTTTTCTCCTGATTTACCCAACTTTTTCCTGACACATCTCATCATTAACACTTTAAGCCCTTTTTTCTCTAACCCTTTCAGTGTCAGATTTATACATACTGTACAATAATACTGAACATTTAAAATGGTCTTAAAACATTGATCAAGTTAGCATAAATCTTATATTTAATTTGTCTTGCCTTTTTTTAACATCTACATGGGATTTTTTACTTTGTAGTTTATAGTAATGTATGTCATTAGCATAATGTTTTTGAATTAAGATTTCATAAATACTTCAAAGTAGATTTTGTAATTATGAGTTAAAAGTTCAATCCTTTTGAGAATGGCATAAGCTCTTCTGGGTGAATGAGGTGTTTGTTGCTTGTTCAGGACAGTTTGGTTTGGTGTTGTTGACATGATGGCTTCAGATATTTAGGGGATTACCCTTGTGAGATGTAAACAAATCTGCCAAATATGACATGAGAAGGAGTGTGTGTGTAAGGGGGGGGGGGGTATATTGGATACTTTTTTATTCCAGTTTTGGGGAAATAATTTTTACCTGGATTCATTGATTTTTTTCAGAGAATTTGAGGTAAATTGACTTGCTTGTTGGAGTTACTTCATGTTCATAAGAAAGAAAAGATTTATTGTTTTTATTTATTTAGTCCTTGATGATTCATGTTGATGGTGTTTAACCCCTTGTGTCTGGGCTTCCCTTTGGCGTCCCCACAGTGAAGGGGTTAAGTTCCTATGCCCAAGTGGCTAATGAGCTGATCAGTGGCGAAGAGGATAAAGGTAAAAGTATCAGAAAGGTGAAAATAATACAACGACAGTAAGTGATCTTGGTACAATCGGGTACTCGCTCCAAAAAGTATCTTTACGGAGGTGATCGATGAATTCCAAAATGAACACTGCGACTCCTGTTGTCTCGGCAGGGTTGAGAAAATTGTCATATTGTCTCGCACAAAATAGTAAAGATATGTTTTAGAGTGAGTGTACATTATGTAGTAAGACAAGGAGTTAATGAAGGAGATAGTGGTAGTAAGATCAAGATACAGTAGCTGTTGTAGAATGAGGATGTGAATGTATACAGAGTTATTGTGAATGACAAATATTCAGTATACTTGTATGTTGGAACATTCCTCTGAGTGAGCCTGTAGTGGATTTCTCCCCTACAAACGCTGTTTGTCGCTGCATAGCCGACCCCACGAATTCCCCTGTGTATGCCTGGTGGTCTGGGTCAACCAGCGCCGCCCACGGAGCAGGGGTCAACTACTAAGCCACGCCTACCCCTCGCTATTTAAGACCTGACCTCGTGGTGATCTCTCTTTTTCTACCTACACCAACCAGCCAGCAACACCTCCTCCTCCGCCTGCCTGGCGGTCCTCGCTCCTGCCGGCGAGCACGGCGACCCACAGGCTGGTCCTCCTCTGAGCATCCTCACCAACCAGCTCTCTCTACATCACGCTTGTAACCATGCTGCCTTCCCAGCACCAAGCTGCATTGTACATCCAATACAACATGTGTATAGAGAGCACATTGTGAGTTTCCTTTCTCCACCCCATCCTGAGTGTGAACCAAAACATACAACAACCCCACAAACCGTTCATCAGTGAGAATGTTAAAATAAACATAATATTTCAAGTCTCCAGGTGCTTCCTTGACCTCTGCTTTGTATATTTATTTCAGTTATTTTACGATGCACAGGTTCAATTCTATCATCTTGGCGTACATGTTAGGTTAGTGGACATATTTGGTCACCCACTTTCTCCCATCCAATCATAAATGTTATCAAAACATACTCATCTTTTTTACAACTTATTTTCACAATGTAGAAATACTGTATTCTTATTATAAAAACATTAAAACATTTGTTGTATTATTGCTTCCTTATTAATAAATATTTATGTACTGTACAGGTTGAAATGTAACAATATTTGCAATGTTATGGTTTTGTGAGGTTAATAGTTGGCAGTTGTAAGGCAGTGGTAGAGTAGTGAGCTGTGTGAGGCAGTACTGTTTTAGGCCTATGAAACAGTGGTAGAGTAGTGAGCTGTGTGAGGCAGTACTGTTTTAGGCCTATGAAACAGTGGTAGAGTAGTGAGCTGTGTGAGGCAGTACTGTTTTAGGCCTATGATACAGTGGTACAGTATTGAGCTGTGTGAGGCTACTGTTTTAGGCCTATGATACAGTGGTACAGTATTGAGCTGTGTGAGGCAGTACTGTTTTAGGCCTATGATACAGTGGTACAGTATTGAGCTGTGTGAGGCAGTACTGTTTTAGGCCTATGATACAGTGGTACAGTAGTGAGCTGTGTGAGGCAGTACTGTTTTAGGCCTATGAAACTGGTACAGTAGTGAGCTGTGTGAGGCAGTACTGTTTGAGACTTAAAGATACCTTCTCACATGATAAATAATGATGGGAAACAGTTATTTATATAATTCATCACCACTCCATCATTCTATGAGCACAAAACAATGCACTGGAATGTGATTGATACTGTAGGAGTGGCAAAGAAGTTTAAAGTAAAAATAACACCAAAAAGTACCATTGAAATACTATAGGTGGCGATTAATTATCATAATAAGATTATTTAAGTTTTTCCAAAATATATTACGGCAAATATAGTATAATATTTATTTACCGTAATACAGTAGTCAATCATGACCTTTACAACCTAACTTAACATCCTGGCTATGTCGCCTCTAGTCAACAAAGCAGGAAATTCCTGTCCAAGTAGTCATTTCCTTTATTATTGTTAACCTTTGTGTGCATGTTTTACACACTTGGGTTACCTTACACACTTGGGTTACCTTACACACTTGGGTTACCTTACACACTTGGGTTACCTTACACACACACACACACACTCCTTGTTCCTCAGGTCCCCCTCACCACCACTGCCAGGCTTCGAGTCCTCCTCCTCACCCGGTACACACGTGGGAGGGAAGGGCTTCACATGGTCTAGTTCCTCTTTTATTAACACTGGACATTAAAGTTTATAAAGAAAATATAACATTCCAAGTTTAACTTATAAGAGATGAAATGATAAATAAACGAATAAATTAATAAATGAATATATAAATAAATAATCTATTTTATTTTAACCCAGTGTTAGGCTTCTATACCTTCATTGTCATCCACTAAAAGCAGAAACCTCCTATAATTCCTACATAACCACCAATACCATCAATATAAACACCAATAAAGATAAGCACAAGATTTATAAAAAGGTTTAAATAACTATAAAGCTTAAATTAATAAATAAAAGGAGTATAGAAGGTATTAGACTGTGTAGTGGATGTTAAGGAAGACAGTCAGCTGGGAGAGACCATCAAGAGTGAAGGTTTAAAACTTCCTCTATAACATTAAGTGAGTATTTTATATAGAAATTCCCTATCAAATACACCCCGGTTGATTAATTGGTGTGTTGTCTGTTTAATTCTTATGTTTTTATTATTAATTAAGTGAGTTTTTGTGAGGGATTAATGTGTGGAAGATTGTGTGACGTGGTATAAAGTTTGACCCCTAGAGACATAATGATAATAATTAAACAATTTATTCTTTAAAATCGTCATTTAGGTTTACAATTGGAGAGGCGTGTATGTAGACTATAGAGGAATACAGATACAGTAATGTAGATACAGTTTATTATGTGGCTACTTGGTGTATGTTCATAGGCTGTGGGAGTATACAGTTTACTATGTATACCTGGGAGTATACAGTTTACTATGTATACCTGGGAGTATACAGTTTACTATGTATACCTGGGAGTATACAGTTTACTATGTATACCTGGGAGTATACAGTTTACTATGTATACCTGGGAGTATACAGTTTACTATGTATACCTGGGAGTATACAGTTTACTATGTATACCTGGGAGTATACAGTTTACTATGTATACCTGGGAGTATACAGTTTACTATGTATACCTGGGAGTATACAGTTTACTATGTATACCTGGGAGTATACAGTTTACTATGTATACCTGGGAGTATACAGTTTACTATGTATACCTGGGAGTATACAGTTTACTATGTATACCCAGACAGTGCAGGTATAAGACATTGGTAAACTGTAAGGCAATGTCACCAAGGATAATCGACAAAGCTGGAAACAGTATTTAGGTATTATTATAATTTTGGTCTTGCAGCGAATTTAAGAATTTTAAGTTTTTTAATTG